AAAAAATAAATTAAAACTAATTAAATAAGTATTAATTAAAAATAATATCCAAAATTAAAAATTATAATAGATAAATTTGTCAATAAAATTTAAAAATTTTAATTTGCTAATAGTTTGATACAAAAAATTATTTTATATAACTTTTTTAATCCACCAGCAGTTTGGGACCTAATTGTTATCTACTAGTTCTAAACCGTTAAATAAAAAGTTTTACTGAACATTTAATTTATAATGCACTACTAGAAAAAAGCCCTAATTTGGTTAAGCAAACTGACCAAGTAAGGCTATATTTTGACTAAAGAACCACTAATTCAGTCAATCATCATGACCGAATTGTTGGACCGCATATGTTTTGTACAAAATAAAATTTCAAAGAGAATTTCATCTTGACCGAAATAAAAAATAATTCAGTTAAGATTCTTGACCAAAGCATTGGTTGAGGAATCAATAAAGAATTCTTATATTCAGACAAATATCTTGGCCAAAATATTTAAATATTATTTAATCAACTATTTCGATCAAAACGATTGATCGAACTAAAATGGAACTACTATTTTTGTATAAATTATTTTGGTGAAGATATATGATCGAATTAACTGATAAGGGTATTCCTGGTCATGCACTACATGTTTTTCAGTCAGTTACCATAACCGAAATAAGATATATAGTAATTTTCACCTAACAAATATTTCAGTCAAAATAACTAATTGAAATAGCACGAAGGTGGATATTTTTGTAAGTTTGTTGTAAATATTTTCAATTGAAAAATATGACCGAAATGCTAATAAATTTACAATATCTGCCATATTAGTTTCGGTCAGATAGCTTGACAAAAATAATTGGAGATTGAATTTTTGGAAAATAAAAATTGCATGTGATTTTAGTTAATAATTTGGACCGAAATAAAGAAGCAGAATGAAAAAAAATATATATTTATTTAATCAATTTTAATTTAGATGGCAAATATTATAATAAAATTTGGTAATAAAAAAAATTCGATTCTAACATCATCAATTAAAAACAATTCTTATTTATTTAATTTATTGACCTTTTTATATAGTTTTTAATTTTTATTATACTTATGTACTAATAATTATAACTAAATATCTAGACATATACAAAAAATGAAAAGAACTCAATAATACTTAACATTTGCTAAATAAGTCCAACATAATTACAAAAGTAAGTCAAATTGATAAATATAATCACAAATAAAAGCATAGAAGTTAAAATATGCAAATAAATTGACTAAATATATAAAAAAAAAATTAAGGAAAAATATTGAATCATGTAATAAAATTACCTCCAAAATGCTATCCCATTGTTCACCAACTTAAATAACCTTGAAAAAAAAAAATTAAATTATTAGTACACAATTAAAACAACCAAAAACATAAGATTATAGAAAATAAAGACAATTTTACATAATAAAACAATTAAAAAAATGAAAGTAAGACAAATGGTAAAGAAGGAATTAGCATTAGTTTTGGTATGTGAAGATATGAATAAAACTTAAAAAGAAATAAGAGTTGTGATGAACAATAAAAAGAAAAAGAAAGATGAAAGAGAAGAAGAGGTAATGAAAATTTAAAGAGAATTATTGAAAGTTAGAAGAATAAGGGGTAGAGAAAAGAGTTGAAGTTGGAGAAGGAAGAAAGAAATGAAAGAGAAGTTTGAGAAGTGATAAGAAGAGTCTGGGTTAATGTATATATAGGCTGAATATTATTTCAAACAGTAATATTAACCGAAATAAAAAAGGCGAATAATTCAAACACTTTTGACAAAAAATTTAAAAGGGAAGGCAAGGGGGGGTGGGAAAAAATTAATTCAGTTAGTAATTATGACCAAATTAAATGTAGTGAAAAATTCAAAAAATTTCATCAATTCTGTTATGCCTTAAAACCCAAATTCGAGACGCGATAGATGCCGTACACTTGTGAGAGGATCCCACAAACGCACAAGGTTCGGAACTTATCATACCACAATCTAATACCACAAAATCTGAAGATAACATTTTAAAATTTGTTCTGATATCATAAAATCTCCAAATAAAGTCTAGCTTATAAGATCATGATTTATATCTAAAATCTATGTTCAATTTACAAGATGGCTAGCCTTCTAACTCGTCACTCTCCTTGTTTTTCCCCGTCCTTGACTTCGCTTCCTAAAATGGTGGACAAGAAAAAACTATGAGATAACTCAGTAAGTAAATATGGATAGCCCTTAATTAAACTTATAGCATACCAACAAGTATAATCACAAAAAACAGATACGAATATGGAAATGAAATAGACGTCTTCTTTATAGGTCATGGCCAGTGTTATAAACCTTCCACTGACAGGCACACGATTTACTAGTGTATAATCCCACTAGCAGGATAATAGTCACATAAACGAACCGGTTCTATCAGTAACATGTCGATATGTGCTAATGTTTATAAACCTCCCACTAGCGGGCACACAAATAACATGACTATATCAGAGACAAAACCAGGCAAGATTTCCAGCAAAATCCATAATTCCCAATCAATCTTAAATTTCAGAAATAAATCAAAAAATTTCCATATGGGCATGGATTTAACAGAAAAATCAGAATTCACAAAATTCTCAATTCATCAAGGCAATTAAGTAAATTCCAAGTAGGCATGCTCAATTCAATGAAAATAATAATAATTCCATACTTGTGTAAAATGGATTTAGTCCCGCCAACACTTCAAAAACAAGCTAAAATATGCTTTAAAATCGGAGGGCATTACCATAATTTATTTACCTTACTCGCATAAAATCGAAGACTCAATCCACGTACTAAAGTGCCCCAAGGATCAAGAACCTAACCAAAATATCCAAGAATTAATTCTATAAGCAATTTCATTTATTTATTTATTTTCATTGACCGGATTGTGTATATATACATTTATATAAACAAATACATATATAAATGGTTTCCCAATCCCACAGACACAAAAATGGAGAAGCCGGGCCTTTATTAAATTAATCCTTTTTGGCAAAACAGTAACTAATCACGGTATTTTCATAAAAATTACTACAACAGCCAATCAAGAACATTTTCTACATTAAGCAAGCTTAAAAACCCATGTTTTAAGGCTGCCGAAACTCCTCCATTTCAACAGAAAATTTCCAACGGACAAAATGGAGGAACCGAGCTTGGCAAAACAGCACTAAGACCCGGCTATGCATACAGAACATCACAGTAGTCCAATCACAGAAAATTCTACATGAATTAAACTCAAAACATGTTTCAAAAGCTATCGGAATTCATCCCCTGTACAACAGAAAATTTTCAGACAACAGGGCAGCAATTCAACAATTTAACTTAGCAGGGCAGCAACTAATTAACCATTTTCGGACTTAAAGATGCCATCAACATACCAGAATTTTTCCAGCAACCAAAACCGGAGCTGGCGGGTATGGAGGCCGACGGAGACTGGAGAAGAAATCATGAAAACTACCACAAAATTGCAAGAAACAAAAGGGATTAGAGTGATCCAAGCCAAATTAAAGCTAAAGAGATGAACTTGAAGCTGGTTCTTACCGAAAATCCCGAAGGATTCACACCCAGCAGAACAGCGGACAAACAAAGGGGAAGAAACAGAGCAGATCTGAAATTTTTCTGTAGGGGGGAAAGATTTCTAAGTCCTACTTTTGCTCTTTAACAAGAAAAGAAAGGGAAAAATTTAAGCTTTTGCTGATTTTTTTTCAAGAAATGGAAGTCGGTGCTTGGGCTTCTTTTTCGGGAGCTGCAGGGGTGAGGAAGAAGAAGAAACCCGCGTGGCTGAGGAAGAAAGAAGGAAAAAAAATCAGCTTGATCCTTATCCTAATGTTTTTCTCTTTTAAGTCCCTTAAATTTGGATATTTTACCTAATAAGCTCCAAAATAATATTTTCTCACACAAAGGTCCTCAACATGCTAGAATTTAAAAAAATTTGGGATATTACAAATTCGAAGGCAAAGAATCAAGGGGTTTTTTTTTCTCTTTTTATTTTTCCAGAACTTTTATTTTGGTCAAGATACATAACTCAAATAATTAGTTGTAGTTCGATCAAAATTTTTTACGGAATGAAAATCCAATTTTTTTTCTTATTTCAAACAATTGTTCAGTCAAATATTTTGGCCAAATTAAGTAAAATAGGAAAATTCAATCATAATTCAGTCAAAAATACTAACCAAATTTTGTTAATATAACAGCTACAAAATGGAAAGCCTCGTCAATTAATTTGCATATCGCTGTATTTCCTACCTTTTACGTTTCTTGTTTTTTACTTTATCTATTTTCATTTTTTTTACCTTAATTGTAAGTAATTAATACAATAAAATTTCTACTAATTAAACAATTTCAAATATATATTAGAACATTTAATTGAAAAGTTGTAGGCACATAAATATTAAACTTGACCTAATATCATAATTAAAGTATCATGTCCTAAAATAGTAATTAAAGTACTATGCCATACTCATCCATGTTCATGCATATGTAACAGTAAAAGATGTTTGTGATAAAAATTAAGATCAACTTAAGTCAAAGGCAATTATGCTCCCTCACTTGTCCTAACCCATCCTCCTCCCTGCATCATAAAAAACATCCTCTCCATCTTGTCAACCGTCTCTTGCAATGTGAGTTGATTCTCTTGTAGTTCTATCACAGTTTGTTGCAACTGCACCACATGTTGAGATGATTGAATATAACTACTAGGTATGGTATGTGGAGGACGTTTATGATGTGACACTCTTTGCTTAGCAGGGTCCATGTAAATGGACATTCCATAAAATCGCCCATCCTTAGAAAGTCCACTTGAAACTTGGGACAAAATTTGAGCATTAACTACTATTGGCCATGCAGTTCTATCCTCCCTATATTTCTGAATGGCCTTTGCAATTAACTGTTCCTGTGATAAATTATATAACATACTTATAATATCATTTAATAAAGTATAAAAACATTATATACTCAATTATATACTTACAATCATAATATTCAATATAATTATAAATAAAATTACTTACATTTTCACAATTCAGTATAAATTTATGAAAAATTTGACAAAATTTCCTCTAAAAATTATACTTTTCCCCCTATAAATAAAATATAAAAATACATTTAACCATATATATATTTTTAGCTATAATATTGAATAAGATTAAAATGAAATCTGATTTCTAATATCTGCTTTACCAAACAACCATATATATTTAGTAGTTAACATAATTCCTAATATCTACTTTACCAAACAACAATGGAAATTGAATTAAGGAGGCTTCACATATCTTTAATTAATCCTCTCATCAAACAAAATTGCCAACAAGATTCCAAAAAAGACAAGATACTACTCAGACAAAATATGAAATTAATAATTAATGGGGATCCACTTTCCAAACATGTAGTATCCACTAGCTTGGCACCTTAAATTTTCACAATTCATTACAAATTTATAAAAAATTCGACATAGTTTCCCCTAAAAACTATACTTTCCTCCTATGAACAAAGTATAAAAATACATTCAATCATATATATATTTTCAGCTATGAATTCAATAAAATTAAAATGCAATCTAATTTCACTTAATTTTAAATAATTTTTTAATACGAATAAAAATGAAAGAAAATATCACTTAAATGAATTTCTCAAAAAATAATAATGGCAAAGAAATAATACTTACAATATTTTCCTGAGCTTGCTCATCAATATACGTTAAAATTTCAATATACGTTAAAATTTTATCTTTGTCCTTTGGATGAGCATTTTTTTTGCACGGATTACATCAATGAATGATGGATCCCTATGTTCAGGATATTTTTCTTTTTATAATATCATATATTCAATTATTGTGTTAATTCACACAAACATTATAATTAACATTAAGATTGTTATATAAATTATGATATGAAATCTGAAACATAAAGGTAATTAACATTTTTACCAATTTTTGCACAAAGTCATTATAATCCATAGATCCACCAATGTGGGTTACCCTAAGGCCCTTGGCTCAATTTAGCTTTGCTTGCTCTTTGTGTGTGTTGGAACTAAGAATCCTTTGTCCATATGTACTTTAGCTTCTCCCAAACCTCATCAAACATGTATAGCTTTTTTTCTATGAAGTTTTTCTTTCTACATGAAACTTGGATATTAGTCATCATCCTGTTATATCGATTTTCACAAACGTGCAGAAATGTTGTATGTACAACACTCTCCTTAGTAGGGTCCCACTTGTATCTATCATGAAAAAAATATATATGTATCATATATTTATACATTAATTTATTCATATAAGAAAATGCACATATATAAATAAAAACATGTGATTATAAATTATTCAATAAAATTACAAACCCAAAAAAGATGCCAATACACTTGTGCTCATGAGAAATTGAGCCCCACCCTATGTATGCATAACGTATATTCGTCTTAAGGATGATTGAAATATTCTTGCAAACTTTTTTTTGGCAATGTCTTCTTATCCCAGTTCCTGTTGCTGAGCCTTTGGGAAGGATCCCCTAGCAATTTTTGGGCTTTTGCAATACCTCACCCCCTTTTGGGTTGAGGAGGTGAGGATGCACTAGAGTTAATGTCACTACCATTACCACATGTGTCTCCCTGGGTCTCCTTGACAATGTACTCGAAGATCCAATTGCCTGTGATTGATTTTTCCTTATAGGCCTTTGGGAAGCAACATCAACGGCCTTGTTACCTCTACAAGCTCTAGGTATGCAATTCATTGCAAAGTCAAAAAATTAAGAAATAATACTACATTAATATATGATTGAAAAAAATGCATTAAATTTAGACTTAAAAAAAATAAGTGAATATGAAATTTAAAGACAATATTTATACATATTAATAAACTTCACATTAAGTTCTACTTATATATCATTAAGTGTTTTATAAAATATCACATACATTACTAAATAATAATAAAGTCTATATATATTACTAATTAATTAATCACCACTATCACTCTCAGAAATATATTCAATATTTTCTTCTTTATATGTATAATAATCTTCAAATCCTTACTCCTCCTTATTGTCCTCCTTATTCTCTTCCTCAATTTCTTTGTCATCATCCACATCCTCAAATTTTACATTAATGGCAGATACAGTCCCATTAGTATGCTAAATAGGTTCATATAATATGACATCTAACTAGGTCAGTTGGGAAGCTGCAGAGTCATCATCTTGAAAAATGGGTTCTGGATCATCACGTTGTTCCACTTGCTCATTCGGCATCTCAATAATACTTCTTGCCCTACATTTCAATGCAGCAACCCATCCCTTCCTAACAGAATTATGTGATAGATATGGAGTGTAATACACATGTTTAGCTTGACTTGCTAAGATGAAAGGCTTATAAGTTCTTAATTTTCTATTTGGATTTATATCAATGAGACAGTGTTTTCAGTCAACCATAATTCCTCGTGTAGAAGGAATGTCATACCAATCGCATTTAAATAGAACAACCATCTGTCAATGTTTGGAGCCAACATATTGATGCTTAATCACTTCTTGCAACAACCCATAAAAATCCAAATTTGATTCTGTTCCTATGGTTCCTGTGACACACACCCCGCTATTCATTATTTTCTTGTTTTTTCTATATGAGGTAGTGTGAAATCAAAAACTGTTTACCCAAAAGCCTTTATAGCATGAAATCATCCAAGAAGGGCTGTAACTCAAGCCAATTAAATGCCCATCAATGCCCTTAAACTCATCATGTAAAACATATATCACATAAGTTATTTTATTAGTTATAAGTATATAACAATTAATAAACAATAATTAAAATTTAGGATTTAACTTATCAATTTTTCAAACCATGACATAAGATAATTGGAACATTTTATCTGTATTTGTTAGGGAGTCATATTTTGACATTCTTCCTCTTCGAAAACCCTATCAAGCATCCATTATAATTATGTGTAAATTAAAACAGTTCATTTAATTTCTCAAATGTTGTGAAGGATAAGGATTAGGATTAGAGAAATGCAGTCAATCAATCTATCCCTTCAATTATTCACAATTCATTAGAACATAATGCATTGTAGCATTATATTCCTTTGTTATTAACACTCGTTGTTGTTGTAGAGAACCAATTGGTTTTCTAGGATTATTAAATATTGAAAAGTTAATATTAACCAAAAGGCCCAAGCCAACCACATTTATGGGAATGCGATCACCTCTTGTCTCAACTTCTCCTTCAAAATAAAGCAAGATAAAGTATGAGATCTCACTCATTATGTAATTTTCACAAATTGATCCTTCTGGACGAACTTTATTTTTCACTGAATCGTTCAATCCATGCATTTGCCTAATTCATGAAAAATAAATTTAAATAATTAATAAATTAAAAAAAATTATGTTTTATATTATAGATATAAAATATTAAAAAATTAAGTATTCTAATAATACCTTTTAAATGGATACATCCAATAGAGTTGCATTGGTCCCCACACCCTGTCTTCATATGGAAGGTGGATTGTTAGATGCTCCATCAAATCAAAAAAAAAAAAGAAAAGATTCTTTCAAGTTGGCATATTATTTCTACAATCTTTATATACCAAATCTCCATATTTGTAACACGAATGGCTAGAGAACATAAGGCTTTTGAAAAACTCATTGATCTCCGTAAGTACTTCCCAAACTTGATTTGGGAGAAAACCACGAAATGCAATTGAAAGGAGACTTCGCATGAATATGTGGCAATCATAACTCTTCATCTTGCTAACTTTTGCCTCTTGCATATTCACACAACGAGAGATGTTGGATGCAAAACCATCAAGAAGTCTAAGATTCTTTAGCCATTAGCACATTGATTTTCTCTACTCCCTATTTAAGACATAAGTGGCCTTCAGTTTTTTACCCACATTGGAGCATTTTTCTGGTATACAAAGACTTTGGCTTATTGCAATGCAATTTCATATCCATCCTTGCCTTCAAGTTATCCTTTGTCAATGGGTCATCCATGATGGTGTGAAAGATATCATCAAAAAGGTTTTTCTTACAGTGCATTACATCTACGTTATAACGGCTTAAGTTTGTACTTTAATAAGGAAACTCCCAAAAAATACTCCTGTTAACCCAGTTATGCCAATTACCAAATCCTTCAATCACTTACCTTTGGGATGGCTTCCTAAATAGTACATCAGGCAACTGCTAAATTTGTCAAAACATACCATCCCCCGACAATCTCTCTAGTGGAGCAAGATTCTCTACATAACCTTTTTTAAAATCATTCCTATTTCTCCTAAATGGATGATTAGGGAGTAAAAACTATCGATTACAATCAAAAAATGATATCTTTTAATCGTTTAGGAGGTGGAATGCCTTAGAATTTTCTTGACAATACGAACATGATAATCTACCATGTGTGCTCAATCCAGATAACATGCTGTATCTAAGGAAGTCACTAATTGTCCACATAAGTGCTACTCTCATCATGAAATGTTGATGCCTAAAGCTATCATATGTCTTGACCCCATTATACCAAAGTTCCTTTAATTTATCAATCAATGGGCATAGCATGACATTAATGTTTTTTCTTGGATTATTAGGGCCTTGTATTATTAGAGAAAAAAAGATGGGACTCCGATTTCATATATATTGATGGAAGTAGGTTGTAAATAGTAAAAAATACAAGCCAACATAAATATGGGGCTACTGTATGTCCAAATGGAGTGAACCCATTTGTGCACAATCCAAGCCCTACATTCTTTGGATCTAACCCAAAGTTGAGGTTGGTGCAATCAAAGTGTTTCCATGCCTTAACATCGGTAGGATGCACAATCTTTCAGATTCACCACCACAAGTAAGGTGTCATATTATGCGCTTAGCTATTTTCAACACATGTACAACCTTTTCAGTCTAGGTGTAAGTGGGAGATACCACAATGACTTCCTTAGTATATGTTGATTTTGTTGCATATATCCCTATTTATAACGAGATTCACCACATACCAGACGTGATGTAATTTTTGTTTTCATATTTACCATAACACAAGAAGTAGTTATTTACACAAACAGCATACACTTAGACCCTAGATTGAAGCGCCTCATCATTTTTTTAGCACTGTAAAAATCTTTTGGAATCCTATCCTGATCCTCTGCCTTAATTTATCTCTTACTACACTTTAACATATAATCCCAATTAGCTACACTTATATCATAAAATGTCTTTGCATTCATAAAATGAGACACCTATTTGGGTATTGCATCACCCTCAACACATCTATCATAAAGTGGCGTGTTAGTAGCTTGCAAAAGACAAAAAATTCCTTTGCATCTTCCATTGCCTCCTCAAAGATTGCCTCCTCAAAGATTGCCTCCTCATTGGCTTGTTCATTCATATTATATTCTATACCATGTGAACTCAATGCATCCATAACCATCTTTCTAATTGGATCATTATCTGGTTCTTTCATCACAAAGGGAGCTACATTAGAGGATTCCCCCCATTGATCATGTTGTCAATTTCACACTACTTGCTCTCCTGTGCAAGTCAGACTATATACCCATTCATAAAACCTTTTTTTGTCAAATTACATAAGCACAATAACACAACAATGTCCTTCTTGGTTCATACATTCAGTGCACGGACACCTAATTTGATTTTTACTACAAAATTCTAGGTTGGAATGAGAAAATGCATAATTCAAAAAAGACTCCACACCAATTTTGAATTCATCGGTAAAACAACCATTATCATCTAAACAATAATACATTCAACCTCAATCTCCCATCATGTGAAATATTTCCTTAAATTTATATTAAAAAAAGTCATATCCTAACACAAATAATAATACATCAAATTTAATAAATTGCTAAACATATTTTATAAACTAAAATTAAAAATTAATATAATTAGTGTTATCATAATTTACTAATTAATTAATCAATATAATCACAATTTACCAATCATCAATTAATTAATATAATCATAATTAATTACCAACCAATTAAACAATTAATATAATCATAATTTTATAATCAATTAATTGATTTATTTAATTAATCATAGTTTACTTATTAATTAAAGAGTATAATTATAATTTACTAGTTGTGTAAGCCCGCGCGTTGCACGAGACATTTTTCTTTTTTTGTTGATATTGATTATTTTTAGTATAAATAAATTTAATAAGTTAGAACTTTTGTAGTATAATTTATCATATTAAGATTTAGAAAAATAACTAAATATTTTATGGGCAAATAAAAAATATGTTTAGACATCTTTAAAAATCATATTAAAAAAATGAAAAATTCTTTTTCTCCTCAATTGCTTTCTCATAGTTGGTGAATTTATTAATCAAATCAGTGAGTAATTTCTCGATAAATCATTTTTATAAATTATTTCTAAAATTCTTTTTATTTATCATTACAATTAAAAGAATACTATAATTGCTATTTGTATGTGTTATGATTCTTATGAGTATTATGCTAGCTTTCATTTTTAAGGATAGTAATTGGTACACATTTTAATCCAACACCTACCAACACCTATCAACACTCACTAGTTTAGTCATTAAAATTTACTATTTTAAGTTTTTCACCTTTACTGTATGTTATTATTTTTTTCATAATAATAATTAGATTTCTTATCTTCATTACCCTTTACCTTTCTATCTCTAAGTTTACTAAAATCCAAAATATGTTGTGATGTAATATAATATATGAATTAATTGAGATTTATTTTTAAAATACTAATATAACCCATACCATTCCTTTCCACTATATATCCTATCATTTTTTTCTACCATCAATTTTAATTTCATTCATTAGTTAGGTTACATTGTTATAATTTTTATTTTTTCTTTCATTTAAAATGAAGTATAACTTTTCTTTTTAACTGAGATTTATAATAATTGTAATTACGATTATGTTTTTCACTGATTTATCAAAAAAAATCCTAATTAAAGCTTTCTAAACCTTTTATACCTATTGTGTTTTTGTGTTTTCATATTTTATTGCATTTTCATGAGAATGATTAGATTCTCACTTCCTCCACCATTTGGCTTTCTATCTAAAGATGTAATGGAACACACAATATGAGTTAACTGAGATTAATTTTTTAAAAAATACTAATAAACTCTAATTGTAACTCATATCATTCCTTTTCACTATCTCGTCAAGTTTTAAACCCTATTTAATATAGTAAGTGGATTTTATTATAGATTATAAATATACATAAATAGATAAATATAAAGATATAGATATATATCAATTAGTGGTGAAATAATACAATAATTTATAACTATTTATCCAAAATGTAACGTCCAAAATGGTATGAGTTATAAATAGAGTTTAAGGTATAGACCCTATTTAATGTATTCATTGGATTTTATTATAGATAATAAATATAGATAAACAGATAAATATAAAGATATAGATATATATCACTTAGTGGTGAAATAATACAATAATTTATAACTACATGTCGAAAATGTAACATACAAATAATTTAAAAGAGAATTAAGAAGAATTGATGTTTTGAATAAATAAAATATGGAGTGCCCTTATTAAACTTATAGCATGCCAACAAGTGCAATCACGAAAAACGAATACAGTACGAGAACGAAATAGACGTCTCCTCTATAGGTCATGGCTAGTATTTTAAACCTCCCACTAGCAGGCTACACTATTTGCTGGTGTATAACCCCCACTAGCAGGGTCACTCAAACGAACCGATTCTATCAATAACATGTCGACATGTGCTAGCGTTTATAAACCCCCACTAGCAGGGTCACTAATAACATGACCACATCAGAGACAAAATAGGCAGAAGTTAACAAAAAAACCATACTTTACACATCATTTCCAGATCATCAGGGCAGTTAAATAAACTTCAAGTAGACATGCTCAATTTAATGAGAAGCATAAAAATTTCACTTCAAATCAGTCATACTTACTTTTGTATAGAACGGGTTTAGTCCCGCCACCACTTCAAAGACAAGTCAAAACATGCTTTTAAAAATTGTACGGGCATTACCATAAATTTACTTACCTCACTTCGCATAAAACAGGAAACTTGACCCCAGAGCTCTAAGCCACAACAGCACCTAATATTCCAAATAAACATGTTCAGACCTCGCTAGAATATTAACACAACATCGCAATTTATGTCGATATCTCATAACCGAACACCTCTAATTTTATTCTCATATAAAACTAAGCATTTCATCCTCTTTATTGTTGCCGGCAAAACCCCAAAAATGCAATATTCATCTATTTATTTATTCTTTTCTTCTTTTCGAATTTTAGCATTAATCCGAATTGGGTATACATATATATATATATACCAATTAAATACACACACATTTACATATATTTATAGCTTCCCAAACTCACGGCAAACAATGGGGAGCATGGCTTTTATTCAATTTTCCATCTTTGGCCAAGCAGTAGCTAATCAAGGAAATTTTCATAATTTTCGTTGCCACAAATTTCCATCTACCCGCAATCAATCAGAACAATTTCTCCAGGATAACTAAAATGGCATAAAAACAACTTCAAACAGCAAAAATGATTCCCGGGACAACCGCACAGAATTCTACACGAATTAGCAACCCAAAACCCATTTTATGCTACCGAATTCTTCCATATTTCTGTAGAAATTCGGACAGCACAACAGAGGGTTTTCGGACAACACAGGGCAGCAACAAATTGATAAAATTCAACAACACAAGGCAGTAATTAATTGATGAAATTTCAGGCTTGGAGGGCTGTTAACTTACCAGAATATTTCCAGCAATAGAAGCCGGATCTGGCGAGCTTGGCAGAAGTCGGGAAAGGGGAAGGGATGTCACGGGAGCTACCAAAATTGAAGGAACAAGAGGAAATTAGAGTAAACCCAACCTAATTCAAGGTTAAAGAGAGGGATTCATGGCTGAATCTTACCAAAGAAATGTCCAGAAATTCGCACCCACATAGCAGCCGGCGGACCAGGAGAAGAAGGGAGCAGATCTGGAAATTTCTGGGTTTAGGAGAGTGTTCTAAGTCCCAAATCTTGTTATTTATCAAGAAAAGAGGGGAAAATCCCAAGCTTGGTCACCATTTTTCTCAAAGAAATGAGTCGGTGGCTTGGGGGGAGCTTGTCGGGCTGCACAAAGAAGAAGAGCAGAGCAGAAACGTGTATGGCTGGGAAGAGAGGAATAAAAATATCAGCTGATCCTTATCTTAATTTTTTTTCTTTTAAGTCCCTGAACTTTGAAAATTTTTGTCATTAAATTCATTAATAATATTTTTTCACAATTAAGTCCCTAACTCACACTTTAATGCTCTAGGAATTTTGGGGTATTACAATTTTATTTACTTCTTCGCCTCCACCTTGAAACCCAGCAATTATGGATTCCACCATTTGAATCACTTAGGCAATAGATTTTGCAGCTTAACAAACCACGGGACGCGATTGACTTGTGCGCCTAAATTTTGATGCTTTTGAGGAAGCAACAAAAGCAACGGGTTCTTGGTTGCACGTAGATTGGAAAATTAAGTGAAAATTCGATGAATCTCAGAATACAGTTGGGCATTTCTACTATTTTTTAGGTAAGATCTAGTGTTCAGATCGACAAAAGTATAGATTTAGGAAAATTTTTGGGGTCCTTTAATCGGACCCTTTGTCTAATAAAAGATCCAATTTTTGTATACTTTTTATTTTTTTAGAATTTATTTTTCTAGTTTTTGGTGATAACAAGATCCCAATGTGTTTAGGGTATCTTACCTGTTTCAAACTAGATATCATGAAAATATGTGCAAAGATTAATTTGATTTTCAAATTCTTGAAATTTTCCATTAGGGAGAAGTTTCAATGAAAAATGGATTCTTTAAATTTTTATGTTATTGTGAATTTTATGTTTTGAGGTTTGATTTCATAATGGTGTTATGACAATTGCTTGCCATGGGAATCAATCTATAT